TTTTTTATTAATTCATCCATGCTTCAAAATTTTCCCCAAGCCCTCCTTGGACGAAGGGTTGCCCCCTACTAAATCTCCCTGCCCCCCAACTTCTTTTCCTTTAAATTCCCCTCGGCTCTGCCCTGCTTCGAAAAAGAAAAGCCAAGGGCCCCGGTAACCCCAAAAACCCTACAATTCCACTTCTAACCGCCCCCGCTTCAAAAAACAGGAATTCCAATTCTTTTAATTTTCCTTTTCAACCCCTTACACTCCTTCCACGAATCATGGGTGCATTTTTTTTTTAAAATTAAAAACCCATACTGCTTTCTTGTTTTTTCTTTTTCCTTCCCCAAAAAATTCCTCCCCCTACCTTCGCGACCCCCACCCGTTAACTTTCCCCTCCTGCATTAGCCCCCCATCCTTTCCAAATAAAAATTTCCCCCAATTTTTTTGGGCTTAAACCCCCCCTTCCGAAATTGTAACCCCTCGGAAAATTACACAAAAATCGCAATAAACCCCTGTGATCCAAAGTCCATTTGCCCCTTTACATCCTACCTAACCAAAATATATGCACAGCACCGCATACCCCCTTAACGACTATCATCCCACCCCCCTATCCCCCCCACTCCGTAACAAAACACCCCGCAAAGGTCCCCTAAAATTCCTGAAAAAAAAATTTTTCCCCTTGGGTTTCGCTCTTGGACACAAGCTCCCAATACCCAAATATTCGTGCGACTCAGTGAATTTTAATGGTTTTTTCCCAACACGCCCCTAAAAAGCATTTTTTCCGATGTCACCTTCCCGGTCCCCCCCCCGGAAACCCTACCCACCCCACACCCAAAAAACCCAACACCCCCCCTTCCTCTCTCCCCCTTTTTTCAAAGAAAACCTTTCCTCAACTCCCTGCTAACCCCCCACCTTTCACTTAGAAACCCCGAAAAAAATTTTCGGAATCAAAATCCAAAGTTTTAAATTGTGTCGAAAATCCACATCGGGTAAAAAATTTTTTTTTAACAAAAAGGCCCCCAAAAAACTTACGTTTTTCAACAGCCACCCAATTTTTTTTAAAGTAACATTAACTTTCGGAGGTTTTCCCTTTTATACCAAAAAAAATTCTTGGTTCCTTTGGTTCTCCATTTTTCCCCCCCCCTTGTTCGTTTTTGAAAGCTAAAAACTTAGATTTCCCTTGTCTTCGGGGCACCGCACCCCGCCCCCACCCCTTTAAATTTCTCTTAATTTAAAGAAACCGCCTCTTTACAACGGGGCCCCCTTCATCTTTAAAAAACTGTTTTTCTATGAATTCCAAAAAAATGTGTCAGAATACCCGGCACCCCGTCCTTTTCACACTTACTTTAAAAAAACCAGGGGAACCCTAATTTTGGAAGCACAATAAAACTTAGAAACTTCTTGGTGATTCTCCCCCCTTTCCCCTGATTAAAACCGGGGTTTCCCGTCTCGCCATCCACCCCACGTTCCCGACCGGGGGGTAACATTGGCTTCTTAAACCCACCCTCTACCCCCCTTCCACATTTCGGGGGAAAAATTTGTTGTTTTAGCAGCCTATGTCGCTATCCGGCATCCCCGCCTTTTTCCCATTTTACACCTTTCATTGGCCCCAATTGGGGTCAAAAACCCACAAAGTTGCACGTACCTTTTGTTGGACGAGTCTTTTTCGAAGCCTCCTCCACTCACGGGGGGTTGGGGGACTTTTTCGGGAAAACCCCCCCCTCCCATCCAACGAGGCATATAGTTTTGTTGCCATTATGACCGGCCCTGCGTGAAAAACTTTCCTCAAATACTTGTCGCCCAAAAAACCCCGTTTCGTACCTTGTCCGGTGTTAAAAACGGGGAGAGTTCTAAACAACAGGAAAGGGGTTGAGGTTTTAACACCTGATATGGGCCCCATTTTTTGAAGTCATTTTGCCTGAATTTGAAAAAAAGCTCAATTCCTTCAAAAGCCCAAAAAAGCTTTTTATTGATCCAAAAGTTTCGGAGAGAGTAAGAGAAGTGAAAGTTGACGGTGTCAAATTAAAGGGGCAACTTTTTCCCGGTCATTCCGTTTTGGGGTCCCCTGAGGAAAAGGACAACAAAGATCAAGTACTGGACCGGAAAACGCGAAGAAAAATCAAAAAGGGGTTTGCGAGCCGTCCATGGGGAAGCGGGACTGTCTCATTTTTTTGGTGCATGGGTCCCAAAAGGTCACTTTTTTTGGGGGGAAGGGCCCAAAACTCACAAGTTGGCAAAGTCCCAAAAATTGCCATTTATTTTTGTGGGGGCATAGCCCCAAAATTTGGCTCCGTTATTTTGTGTGGTAAGCCCAAATTTATAGCTCACTTTATTTTTTGTGGGGCAAAGCCCCAATTATAGGTCACGTTATTTTGTGTGGCATAAGTCCCAATTTGCCGTTTCCCTAAATAAAAAATTTATTATTATATTAATTTATCAAAACTAAAGGATTTTTAAAAAAATGATACTGATACACCCCAGCATGGAAATACCAGCAGGGGAAATATCCAAAAATAGGGTTAATATCCAGCATGGAATATCAGGCATGGAATTACCAGCATGGTAATATCCAGCATGGTAATATCAGCATGGAAAATCAGCAGGGTAATACCCAGCATGGAAAATTCCAGAAAAATTTGGAAATTTCCCAGTGGTAATATCCGTTGGTAATATCCAGCAGGGGAAATACCCAGCATGGAATTCCAGCTGGAAATATCCAGCATGGAAATACAGCAGGAATATCCAGCATGGTAATTCAGATGGTAATATCCAGCATGGAAATATCCGCATGGAATATCCGCATGGTAATATCCAGCTGGTTACCAGCATGGTAATTCCAGATGGAATATCCAGCATGGTAATATCCAGCATGGTAAAAAAAAATATCCAGCATGGTATACCCAGCATGGAATATCCGAGGGAAAATCCGCAGGTAATATCCAGCATGGTAATACCCAGCAGGAAAATACCCAGCAGGAAATACCCAGATGGTAATACCGCATGGTAATATCAGCATGGTAAATCCGCATGGTAATATCCAGCTGGAAATATCCAGCGGGTAATACCCCGCTGGTAATACCAGCATGGTAATCCAGCATGGAAATACCCAGCGGGAAAATATCCAGCATGGTTTTTCCAGCGGGAAACCCCGCATGGTAATACCGCATGGAAATATCCAGATGGAAATACCCGCATGGTAATACCAGCATGGAAATTCCAGAAAAAATACCCCAGCTGGAAATACCCCGCGGGTAATATCCGCTGGTATATCAGCAGGGAAAAATATCCGCGGGAAAATATCAGCTGGTAATATCCGCATGGTAATATCCAGCATGGTAATACCCGCATGGAAATTTCCAGCATGGAAATACCAGGGGGAAATATCCAGCAGGGGAAATATCCAGCAGGGAAATATCCAGATGGTATATCCACTGGAAATACCAGCTGGTAATTCCAGCATGGAAACCCAGCTGGTAATACCCAGCATGGTAATACCCAGATGTAATACCCAGCATGGAAATACCCCGCATGGTTTTTCCCGCGGGAAAATATCCGCATGGAAATACCAGCGGGGAAATCCGCATGGTAATACCCAGCATGGAAATACCCAGCATGGTAATATCCGCATGGTTTATCCAGCAGGGTATATCCAGCATGGTAAATCAGATGGAAAATTCCCAGATGGAAAATTATCCAGCATGGAAATATCCAGCATGGTAATACCCAGTGGAAATATCCAGAGGGTTTTAAACCCAGCATGGTAATTCGGGCATGGGTAATTAAAACCACTGGTAATATCCAGATGGAATATCAGCATGGAAAAATCCAGATGGAAATATCCAGCATGGTAATATCCAGCAGGAAATATCCGCATGGAAATACCAGCATGGAAATTCCAGTGGAAAATATCAGCATGGAAATATCCGCATGGTAATATCCAGCATGGAATTACCCGCATGGTTTTTTTTTTTTTTTTTTTTTTTTTTTTTTTTAAATCCAGCGGGAAAATTCCAGCAGGGAAAATACCCAGCATGGTAAATCCAGCATGGAAATACCCAGCTGGAAATCAGCAGGAATATCCAGCGGGAAATTTCCCAGCATGGTAATATCCAGCATGGAATATCCAGCATGGTAATATCCAGCATGGTAATATCCAGCATGGTAATATCCAGCATGGAAATATCCAGCATGGAAATATCCAGCATGGTAATATCCAGCATGGTAATATCCAGCTGGTAAAACCGCTGGTAATATCCAGCAGGAAATATCCAGCAGGGTAATATCCAGCATGGTAATACCCAGCATGGTAATATAGCTGGAAAATTCCAGCATGGAAAACCCACGGAAAATATCCAGATGGAAAATCCAGCTGGAAATTTTCGATGGAAATACCGTTTTGGTAATATCCAGTGGAAATATCCGATGGTAAATCAGCATGGTAATACCAGCATGGTAATATCCAGCATAGTAAAGATGTTCCGGAGTCAAGGTGTGGTAATGATCCCTGAGTAAAGCTGGATAGCTAATGCCGAGTAAAGGGTGTAAGTAGTGATGCCTGAGTCAAGCTATGAGAGCTGATCCCGAGTCAAGGGTGTAATAGTGATCCCGAGTCAAGGTTAAGTAGTGATGCCTGAGTCAAGTGGAGTAACTGATGCCGACCAAGCTGTGAGTAGCTAATCCCTGAGTCAAGCTGTGGTAGCTAACCCAAAGTCAAGGTGGAGTAGTGTTGCCTGAGTAAGCTGTGAGTAGCTGATGCAGAGTAAAGTGTGAGTAGTGATCCCTGAGTCAAGGTGTAAGTAGTGATCCCTGAGTCAAGGTGTGAGTAACTGATGCCGGGTCAAGTGTAGAGCTGTGCCTGAGTCAAATGTGAATACTGTCCCTGGTTAAGCTGTGAGTAGCTGATCCCCGAGTCAAGTGTGAGTAACTATGCCCGAGTCAAGTGTGGTAACTGATGCCTGAGTAAACTGAAACTGTGCCTGAGTCAAGCTGTAACTGTGTGGTCAAGCGAAACTGACCCTGAGTCAAGCGAACTGATGCCCGGTAAAGCTGAAAATGACCCCCGATCAAGCTGTAATGATGCCCGAGTAAGCTGTAACTGACCCCGAGTCAAGCGTAATGATCCCCGACAAGCTGTAATGATGCCGGGTTCAAGCTGAAACAATGCCGAGAAGCTGTAACTATGCCTGAGTAGAGTAACTGATGCCTGGTCTTAAATTTAAAAACAGGAGGCTTCGTGAGCAGCGCTTTATCGTAAAGGGGCCCGTTTTCTATTTTGAATCTCATGGCTGGAAGGCCTATGGATTAAAAAAACCCCGTTTCCCACGTCCCCTAGGGGTTTATTCCTGGGTTTCTTAACATGGCTGACTAGGAATCCCTCTTCTTATCGGTTTCCCAAACCCCTAAACATGAGAAAGGATTTTTTAAAGGGGTTTTTTAAAAGAGAATTTTCAAAAAATTTTTTTCTCACAAAATTGTAAAATTTTAAAATGTACTCAAGAAATCGTAAAAACACATGGGAAAATAAATCACCGCCAGGTTCAAACCCCCACCCTTGTGTGTTTAAAAAAAACGAATATGAATGAAAAAAAAACAAAGAAATTTGGTTTTTGGCGATTTTTGACTTCACGAAATTAGATTTCCATTTTCAGAATATTCTAGTAATTTTTTTTCTTCAATTTTTTTAAATTTTTAAAAATCTTTTTTCGATTATTTACAATTTTAAGTATTAATTTTTCAGTTCCAGAGGAAATTCCGGAACTTCGGAGGCGGGATTTTTTTCCCCGTTATATTACCCTTTTTCCCGGGGATAACTGGGGGTTATTTATTATTATTATTTTATTATTTTATTATTTTTATTTTAAAAAAAATAAAGCACCCGGGAATGAAAATTTTTATTTTATTAATTTTTTTAAAACTATAAAGGGGTAAAATTTTTATTAAAATTTTTAAAAACTTAAAAAAAAACCCGGGCATAATAATTTTAATTTTTTTTAATAATTTTTCCCAAATTTAAAACCCTGGATAAAAAAATTTTTTTTTATTATTTTTTTTTAAAAAAAAAAACCCCCCGGGGATAATAAAATTATTTATTTTTAATTTTATTTTTATTAAAAAAAAAAAACCCTTTTAAAACCCTGAGAAATTTTTTTTTATTATTATCAAAATAATAAAACCCCGGGTTAAGCCCTGGAAAAATTTTTAATTTTTTTTTATTTAATAAAAAAAAAGCACCCGGGTAAAACCCTGAGAAAGTTATTATTATTATTTTATTATTACAAAAATAAAGCCTGGGACAGCCCCGAGAAAGTTATTTTTTTATTATTATTTTTAAAAAAAAAAAGCCTGGGTCAAACCCAAAATTATTTTATTTTTTTAACAAAATAAAAGCCCCTTTTAAAAAAATTATTATTATTATTATTAAAAAAATAAAAACCCGGGAACCGGAAAATTTTTAAAAAAATTATTTTTAAAAAAAAATGGGCCCTTAAATTTTTTTTAAAAAAAATTTTTTTAAAATTTTTTTTTTAATTTTTAAAAAAAAAAAACACTTAAACCCGGAAAGAAAATTTTTATTATTTTTTATTATTATTTTAAAAAAAAAACCCTGGGTCATACCCCTGAGAAAGTTATTTATTTATTATTTTTTACAAAAAAAAAAAAGCAGGGTCTACCCGAAAAATTTTTTTATTATTTTTAAAATAATAAAGCACCGGGTTCCCCAAAAAATTTTTTATTATTTTTATTAAAAAAATTTAAAAAACCTGGGTCAAAGCCCGAGAAAATTTTTTTTAAAATTTTTTTTAAAAAATTAAAAACCGGGAAAACCCCTTTTTTTATTTTAATCAAAAACTTATAAAAACCGGGGTACCCAGAAAATTTTTTATATTTTTCAAAAAAAAAAGGGGAACGCCCTGGAAAATTTTAAATTTTTTTTCAAAATTTAAAAAAACCCGGGTAACAGCCTTGGGTTTTTTAATTTTTTTTTAAAAATAATAAAAAACCCCCGGGTTTTGCCCCGGAAAAAAAATTTTTTTTTTTTTTTTTTTTTCTAAAAAAACCCGGGGCCCCAGGGGATTTTATTTTTTTATTTAATTTCAAAATAAAAAGCCCGGGTTTTCCCCCTTTTTTTTTTTTTTTCTAATAAAAATTATCCCAAAAAATATTTAAAAATTATTAACAAAAAACAATAAAACCCGGGTTTTCACCCAAAAAATTTTATTTTTTAAATTTTTAAAAAATAAAAAAACATGGGGTTTTCCAAAATGGAAATTTTCAAAAAAATTTAAAAAGGGTGGGGGGGGGCCTTTTAAAGCCAATTAAAACTGTGTTTTTTACAAAAAACCGGAACAACCATAGCCCTAAATTCACCCAAATAGGTTTTTTAACCAGGGGGTTTCACGGATTGTGACCACAAAAACCCTTTTTTAAAAAACCCGTAGGGTGGCCTTTTAAATCTGTCAAATCCCCGGGGGTTCTAACTTTTAAATCAGGGCAATTTTTTTTTTGGGAGGGGCTGGGTAACCAGGTTTTGGGGTTTTCCACTGGTTTTTAAAAAGGGGGGGGGGTTTTAAGCTATGCCTTTTTTTTACTTTAAAAACAAAAAACCAAAAGTGTTTTTTTTTCCCCCCCATTTAACCCCGAATATTTGTTTTTTTAAAATTTGAAAAATTAAAAACAAAATTTACCACGGGGGTTAACTTTTGGGGTTTTCCCATTTTTCCAAATTTAAAAAAAATTTTCCTTTTTTCAAAAAATTTTTTTTTAATTATTTTCCCCCAAACGAATGGGTTTTACTTGGAACATTTCCCCCCTTTTTTAATCGTTGAAAATCCTCTTAAACGAATTTTACCCTGCTGGTTTTCCTTCCAAAAAAAGAAATGCTAAATTTAACTTTAGTGTATTTCATTTCAAAAAAAATTTTTTTTTTTCTTTTATTTTTGTGGGGTTTTACCGGGGTTGTGTTTTGGGAAAAAACCTTTCATTTTTTCAGACGTTTTTAAAAAAGGGGCCCTTCAAAGACCCTTTTTTTGAGTGGCCCCATTTTTCCCCTTCCAAATAATTGGGAACCACCCTTTTTTCAACGTTTTTCCCCCAACCCCTGAACATCTAAGGAAAAAACTTTCCTTACTTCCCATTTAAAAAAAGGGCAAAAAAACCTCCCCGGGGGGGTTAGACCCCCCGGGAAAAGGGTAAAAAGGACTAGTGGTTATTTTTGGCTCTTGTCCGGGGTTTTAACCCCCCCCCTGGGAGGTTTTTCAGGTCTTGACAGTGGATCAAAAAAAATTTTTTTTTTCAAAATTAGGTCAACCCCTTTTGTTTTCTTGAAGAAAATTTTTGGGGTTTAAAAAATTTTTGGCCCCTATTATCTCTTTTTACACCTCGCTAAAGCCCGTCAAATTTAAAAATTTTTCTTTTAGTGATGACGATTATTTCGTTTTTTTGAAAGGGGGTTTACTAAATCTGTTATTCCCTTTTTATTTGACGTGTGAAAATTTTTTTGGGGGGGAAAATTAAACCCCCCCCAAAAAAATTATTTTTTTTTTCTTTGTCCCTCCTAGTTAGAATTTTTGGATTTCCAGGCCAAAGGGGTCGAACCGGTTTTTTTTGGGGTTTTTGGGGATTGCCCCCGTTCTTTTTAATAAGTTGGGGCAAAAACTGCAAAGGGTGTTACATTAAACTATAAAAGCAGGTGAAACCAAACAAGAGGTACAGGTCCTTTATGGAAAATTTTTTAAAAAAACAGGGGAAAGTTTGGGTTGCGTATGTTGGCGGGAGGGAAATTTTTTACTTAAAATCTTGGGGGTTAAATCTGCACCAAATCTCCCACAAAGTAAAATTTCCTCAAAACCCCTTTTTAAAAAAGGGGCCCATTGGTAGGAAACACCCTACCGGGGAAAATTTCCAAACCCCCCCCAACATTTGGGGGTTTAATAAAACCCTGGGCCCCAAAAGGTGGGCGATACCAAATCACCATGGGGCCCTTTTTGTTCGTTCTTCCCCAAAAGGGTTTTTTCCCAAATCCCACCTGGTCAGGACCCCGGGGGGCTTTACCGGAAAACCCGGAACCCCCGGCACTTTAAAAGTGGAAAAAAAGGGGGCCAAATTTTTTTTTGGGTAGTAGCTTTTACCCTTGATAAATCTTTCCCGGGTGGGTCTTTTCCCTTTTAAAAAAAAAGGGGAGATAAATTTTTCCCCTTTTGGTTATAATTTTTTGGGGGAGTTTGGGGGGGGGCCCCCCTTTTCGGCTTTTTGGTCCAAAACCCGGGGGGAAAACTGTGGGCCCTTTCATTTACCCAAAATTTTGGGAAAAACCGGAATTCCTGGTGTCTGTTTTAAATTTTTTTAAAGCGTTTTTCGGGTTTGGGGGTTGGTTTTAGCTTTGCCCCCCCCCTTGGGACGACATTGTCAACCTAAAAATACGACTTTTAAGAGGGGTGATTTTGATCAGGCGGGGCTGAACCTTAAACCCTTTTTTCCCCTTTCCCCTTTTGGTTTGGGGTTTTGGGAAAGTTTTTTAGGTTTTTTTACAAATTTTTTCTTTTTTAAATTTTTGTGGTTTTTTCCCGTCCTCTATTCAATAAAATAAAAATGCTCCTTCCCTGTTTTTTGGTACCGTTTACTTTATTTTTAAAAATGGAAATTGGCCCCATTGTTGATTTCCCCGGGTTTTTCTAAGTTTTAGGTTTAAAAAAGTTAATAAAAAAGGAGGAAAGTGGGGGTTGGGGGTTTTTTTTCCCGTTGGGGAAAATCGGGCAACAAAAAGGGGGTTTTTTTAAAAAACTGTGGTGGGGGGCAAGGGCGCCGGGTTTTTTTTTTTAAATTTTTTTTTATTTTTGAATTTTTTTCTTTAAAAAACGGAAAATATTAAAAATTTCCCGGGGGAAAATTTAAAAGTTTTCAACTTTAAAAATTTGGTTTAAAAATTTTTTTTTTGGAAAAAAAGAGTTTTTTTTAAAAAAAACCCCTTTTTTATTCCCTATTTAAAAAAATTTTTGGGGATACTCCCCTTTAATTTTTTTACCTTTCCCGTTTGGTTTCTCTAAAAAACCTTTTCTGTTTTATAATCCAAAACCCCTTTTCCGGGTTTTTTCCCCGGGTTAAGGGGACCCTTGGGTGGGGGGTTTTTAAAAAATTTTCTTTTTGGCTCCCTTG